GTGCCTGAGTATGCTTGACCCTGGCACCAGCTCTGCCCACCTGGACCAGGATTCTTGGACCCCAAGGAAGAAGTAACACCATCCAAATGAGAGACCTGTGGGGAGCGGGACAAGCGGGTTGAGTGTGAGACCTGTCTACCCCCTGTCCTGGGCCCGAAGGAGCAAGTCTCTAGGACTCTTCAGGTTCTTAGGATGGAGAATGCGGCCTTGACAAGAAGGAGAAATTAGGGACAGGCTGAGTTGGATTTAGGTTCCTTTCCATTTTTTAAATTGGGACATCTTTTGTCCTCCTGAGTTTATGGAAGATTCCCACCTCTTACTGCAGCTAGCACTTGGAACACATTATGGGGTGTTCCTGGAGTCAGGTGAGTGTGAGGCCTATGGTTGCCTCCCTCTGTGCCCCTCAGGGAAAGAGCTAGGACCCCCTGGCTGTGTGGACACCCTGAATGGTTGTGATTTCAGGGGTCCCCTTTACCAGCTGTGATGGATTGTCAGTTCCTTAAACACAAGCTCCTGCACCCCCTGTGGGGTCACCCACCCCAGCCCCCTCCTGACCAGAGGCCCCACCTCCACAGCTGTGGTGCAGCACACAGGGCAGCCCCCCCTCCCCACCTGGCCCTCTCTTGTGTATAAGCCCCTTCTCTATCTCAGGTTGTTCTATGTTCTTCCCACACCCATTCTTCATAGGAAATAGCCCTGTAAAGTAAAAAGGCACAGGACGGAGCAGAAAACCACTCTCCAGCTCTGACATGCTGGCTCTGGCTGGGGGCACTCGGCTTCCTGGGTCTCCGTAGTGGGGGGAGTAGCCTTCACACCCCAAGGAGCCGCTTGGTGGGGAGATGATCTCCTCTGTGAGGTTCTTAAATGTGAGAACTTTCTTCTCTTCTCCCTTTAGACTTTCCTTTGGAGAATGAACCTGGAACTCAGAGGGTCAGACCATTTTCTCCCTTTATTTGGACAACACAGAGTGAGCCAGAGCTTTGCACACTGACATCCCAGATTTGCACTAGAATAAATGCAGAGTTCACTGAATACAATCTGTCTGTGCCTCGGCGTGCAGCACTGGGGCTAAGAGCTGGCTCTGCCCCTTACGCTCCAAGCTCCTGCAACCTCCCGCTCTCTGGAAAGTACCCAAAATGCCAAAGAAAGGAAGGGTAGGTTTGCTTCTGGCCCCACTTCACTCACTTGCTGTGTCATTTAACCCCTTAAGTTTTCTCAACAGTTAAATTAATAAAGGAGGCAGAATGAAGGCCTAAAAGAGCACTTCCAATTTAAAACCTTCAGTTTTCCTATCAAGGCAGAAGATTAACACAGTCACACACAGCCCTGCACAGTCCTGTCCCCATGCATGAGGGGAGAGTCTGCAGGGCTGAGGAGAGGGGCCCTTCAGGGCAGCAGCCCTTTGCAGCTTCTGCTTCCCTTGCCCTGGGGTGCCAAGAGGACATAATGCACTTGGAGAAACTGAGGAGGCGAGGACTACAGGGATCCCCAGTTGGCCTCACTCTGCCCTAGCCCACCCGGAGAGCCCAGTGAGCTCATGTCTGCAGGAAACTTACTGCTCATCACCACGATGGTGAGATCAACCTGGAAGCCAGGTGCAGGTGAGAAGTGATGGGCGTCTCCTCAGGAATGTGCTGCCCAATTAAAACTACCTCCCTGAATGGCTCCAGCGGATGCCGGGCCTACTCCTCTGGGCACTGATGGCTAGCCTCCAGGCTGAGTTAGTGGGCAAGCATTTACAGAGGGCCTACTGTGCACCAGGAGCTGGAAAATAAGAGTCACACTGGAGGGTAGTCTCCATCCCAGAAACACATTTGGAAGCAGATAGTCAGAAAGCCTGAAAGTTCTGCTGGTTAGGCCCAGGCCCCCTATGCAGCCCACACCACAGGCCCAAGTGCTTAGCCTGCCGCCCTTCTTTTTTAAAGCATTCACAGTCCTCGGTCTTCCTCGGACCCCTCTGACTGTTAAGCTGGCATCAATCAGACTATTGCCTCCTCACCTTCTCTGCTTCCATAATAGCCTGGACACCTTCTACAGTGTCCCTCTGCAGAACCAGGATCAGGCTCATTGTTTCCTGTCCCTGGCAGGGGTCCAGCAGAGGCCACAGTGTGAGGCAAGGTAACACCCCTATGACTACAGGAAGGCTCATTCCCCAGACTCCAAGGTGAATTTACTGTCCTATGTTCATCCTCAAAGAGGAAAGCTGAACTTGGAGGTCAGGCCTCAGACAAGGGCCTTGCTCTCTTTAAGGACATATGTCCTGAGTGCAGATGTTGGAAGAAGGTAAAAACTTAAGTGTGGCCCACATGGTGTGTTGCTGAAGCAGCCAGACTGCTTATGTTAAAGTTCAGTCCTTCCCTTTTACTATGTAGTATGTCTGCGCTTTTCAAATTGTGTCTCACCATAAGAGATACCCCAAAAAACATAAATTGGATGAGTGGTATTTTCCCAGATGTAATGAGAAATTGGAAGACAGGTAGTCCAAGGCTTGAATGTGGTTCCAAATGCCATCAAAGATTCAGACTCCTTCTGTCCTTCTCCCCAACCTTCCTTAGTGTGTACTTGCCTCATGGTCACAAAATGGCTTCCCTATTGCCAACCAGTTCAAATTCTAGCAGGAAGATTTAAGTCAAAGGACCAGTTGAGTCACTCTCCCTTTTAAGGAGCTTTCTTGGAAGCCCCACACAACTTCTGCTAATATCTCATTGAAAATGTGTCACATGGCAAGAAACACTGAGAAATGTTTCTAATTAACCATGTTGCTGCCTCCAAGAAAATCAGACTTGTATAAATATGGAATATAAACTGGTATAGAACTTGCAAGGAGAGAGGTGAAAAATATTTGAGGGAGGACAGGTTTGGGACTAGATGTGGAAAAAAAGGAGCCAATCACTCTTTGTTGCTCTGTTAAAGGTTCTGTGCTTGACCAAACTTTAGTTGGGTTCTCAAATTCTCTTCCGGGCTCCCTTGTGTACTTTCTTGTTAAATCCTATTTTAGCAAGAACGCTGCTGAGTCTGCTTAGCAAGAGCCCTGACCTTTGATATCACCTTCCATGTCTCATTGGTTTTCTCATCCTCCACCATATTCCAAGTGATATTTTATCACTCTGGACTGTCTCCAGAAAGAGTTCTGTTTGGTCAGTTTAGCCAGATTTCTCCTTACCCCTAAAGTTTCCTCTTGGTAATTTTCTGCCTGCTGACCACCATCTGCTCTTTGACTATAACCCCTACTTGCCCATGCTATATTAAGAGTTGAGTCCAGCTTTCCCTACTGCAAGCCCCATTTCAGTGTCTCCACACCTACTGCCATAGACCCCGTGAATAAAGTCTGCCTTATTGTCTTCAACAAGAGTCATTGATTTGTTTTTTCCTCTTAAAGACTCAGTGGTTGATAGTGAAGACTGAGCTTGGCAAGTGGTTACACAGCTGCAGGGCAATCAATCTTCCCCACAGGAGAATGAGAAGACATGAGGTTGCAAGACTTCAGAAGTCTCCAGCTTCCTTTCCCATTGCCAACCAGGCCCCTCATTCACCTGTTCAGAAGTTCTCTTTTCCTCCAATATCATCTTTATTAACTGCACATATTTAATATCTGCCTTTACTTCCTTCTGCTGTAGGCCACAGCTCAACCTGGCAGTTAAGCACAGAGAAACCCAGTTTTTAAAAAAGTGTTCTCTATATCAATGTTGATTCTCAATGATGTAAACTGAAATTTAATAATGCCATATTGCAATTAAAATAAATAAATAAATAATAAAAGAAAGTGTTTAACACTTTAAGCACGCACTGCTGTGTCTACGAGTATGCATGTGTGTGTAGGAAACGGTTATGTGTCTTTGTACCTCAGCATCTACATGGATCTGTGCTCAAAAAATACTAGAGCGGGCCTCCCTGGTGGCGCAAGGGGTTAAACACCGCACTATGAAGCTATCCACAGCCTTGGTAACACGAGTTCCATCCCTGGCCGGCCAGGGAGCTACCCACATGGCGCAGCAGACCTCTCCTGACTTCCCCGCTGCTCCCCTCAGCAGTGTTTTTCGGTCCATCTACCTGTTCTGCTCCCCACCTTGTCTCTGGTGAGTCCTCTTGTTATAGGACAGGGAGAGGGGCAGCCCAAACCCTGCAAACCTGCCTATTCTACATGGGTTCTGCCATCCGCCGCATCAACACAAAACATAGGAGACTTTAATGGGAAGGAACTTTAATAAAACTAGGAAACAACACAGGTAAGGCAAAGAGTCTAGTTTCTAAATGAAGCACCCAAAGTTACCCGTCCCCTCGTGGGTAAAAGTCCATCCATATGGGAATGGCGCAGAGCAAGGCCCCAAAGCCTGCTACAAGTCTAAAGCATCTTCCAGTGGGGACCCACAGAAAAGGGTCACAAACAACCGGACAAGCCCGGAAGGAAAAGAGCAAAATTAACATCAAGATAAAAGCTGCCATTGTCACCTCCCCACAGGTCTCACCCACGTCTGTGTCACCCAGTCCACAACCCAAAGACAAGCGCAGTTTCTTCACGTGTCTCTAGGCTCCATGCGCCTCCTCCAGTTCTCCTGGCTCCATCCTGCTTCCTTCCTCAGTCTCTTCTCCAGCTTCTCCTCTTCCTGCTCAGCTCCACCCTCCCTTGGGTGGGGCAGGGAACCTGGAACTTCCCCCTTTCCTGGGGACCACCCTGTTACACTCTCACCCCCCCCACCCCCACATCTCTGGCCTGTACCCCAGCTCTTTTATGTTTGCATAAATAAATAAATCTTAAAAAAAATACTACAGCATGGCTTTGGCTGCCACGGGCCCTCCCTCCTACCAGCCAATGAGACACTCCACTCTGCAAATTTAACTGGAGTCTTCCTCAGCATTTTAGAAGGGCACCGAGATCCCTCTCCCGCCCCCAGTTCCCTCCTCCACACCGCTGGGGGGCGCTGCTCCTCAGGGTCTCTGCTGCCCTCTACCGATGCGGACAGCGAAGAGCGCACGCGCGGAAGCAGCCGGTGTTCACCTTTCTCCCCCTCCCCCCGCCTGCTTGCCATTCAGCGCGTGCGCATTGAGTGTGTGCAGCTCGGAGGACTGAGGCAGGTAAACCCCGAGGCGAGCAGGTGGGGGAGGGGGCGAGGCGGGAGAGGAGCTGCCGGAAGTTCTCGCCCGGCAGGTCCAGGGACGCTCGCGTTGGTTCCTGCGTGGTGGGTTTGAGAGCGTCGCTCTCTGCCATGGCGCTGCACCTAAGCCTGCCCCTCCTCTCGGGACTGGGGGCGGGGGGCGGGGTGGGCGGGATGGGATCTTTCAGGCCTGTTATTGATTTGGTGCCTATTGTTTATCCAGGAAGGTTTTCTCGAAATTACAAAGTTTGCAAATAGTGCATGGGAAGGGGCGAGGCCAGAGCAGGTGGGGATTGGGCTGCCCCTAGTTCCAGGGCGGCGAGGAACTAGGCGGGCCCGGGCAGCCCTGTGCCTTCAGCTGTATGTGGAGGGTAAGGAGCTGCACCAGATGGGCTCCTGGCAGAAGTTGCGCAGGAATTTGGGATCCATTCAAGGTGGCAGTTTTGTCATTTTTCTGTTTTTACTTTTTCTCCTGGCGCAGTGTCACCACCAACATGCCCACACTTGCCTCTGCATCTAGGACATGACACAAGAGGCACATCCAGGCCATGGGGTCCCATCACTCTGCCTCTGCTCATCCCCCTTTCTGCATTCGAAAGAAAGAAGATAACAGGGAGAATTTGCTGGCTGAGCGAGAGCAGGAAGAAGCCATTGCCCAGTTCCCATATGTGGAGTTTACGGGTCGAGATAGCATCACCTGCCTCACATGCCAGGGGACAGGCTACATTCCAACAGGTAAGGATTTTGGGTCATTAGGGGAGGGCTGACTTCCCTACAGAGAATCCCAAGGCACCCACAGGCGTGTCTCTCAGACAGAGCTTTTGTTCTAGGCGCTGATGCCATAGTCATAGTGTCGTCAACAGGACCAGCTCAATGACTTGATAAACTTGGGCAGGTTCCACAACATATCTTGGTCTCCTTATATTTAAAACCTTCCTTTTCTTCATTTCTACACTTTTGTTCTTTGTTTTCCTTGGTTTGGGACATCCGGTTTGCTCAGCATGGTGGGTGGGATTTGTTGACATGCCCTATTCTTTATTTCTCTCACTCATTAGACCTGGCATGGCTCGGTGGTGAAACTGTCTTGGAAGCTTCTTTTCCAGGAAGCAGATAGTGAATTATTAACACCCTAAGGTCTGAAAAATATATCAAGAGGGGAGAGAAAAACAAATGCTTGTTTAGTTGTAGGGTCATCTGTTAACACGCAGAAAGTCTTTAGATTTAGATGGAGAATCACAGAAATTTAGAGCCGCTCAGAAGTTTAGAAACCAATTCCAGAGGTTTAGAAATCTATTCCAAAGGTTTCATAATACAGATAGGAGAAAGTAGCCTTGAGAGGTCATGACTCACCAAGGCCGTGCAGTAAAGCCAGAACAAGAGGCTAGATTTCTCAACTTCCATATCATTGCTCTGGCAGCTCTAATAAATGCTTTATGATTTGTGACACACTTTGTAGATTCATTTTGTTTCATATTTATTACACTCAAAATGTGAAACTAGTGTCTTGAAAATGTCTAATTCCAGACAAAATATGTTGTGGTGACCTGTTATGGGTTATAAAGGAAAGTGCTCCCAGCCCGAGATTCAGCTTACTACAGTAATTGTTTGGTTCTTTTCTAGAGCAAGTAAATGAGTTGGTGGCTTTGATCCCACACAGTGATCAGAGATTGCGCCCTCGGAGAACGTGAGTTACCTGCCTCTCTTTTGTTAACACCTGCTTCAGTGCCTCAGCCCTTTTATATGTGTGAATGCCACTTAGTTTTTTGAAAACTATCAGTTCTTACAGATGTCTTTGCTCAAGCAAGACATCTCTGCCCTGTCACAATCTGGGGGAGGAAACTTGGAACTAGAAACATTCTGAGGTGCAAGTAAAGGAATTAAATTGGGAGGAATGGAGAAGAGGGGTTTTCTGGAAGGCGAGGAAATGTTTCTCTCCGCACAGCTCATCTCTTCAGCTTCTTCCCAGGTTGTTTACTGGATTCAAATGGGTCTAAAAAGGCTTCTCTCACTGCACTCATTCTTGACTGGCTTGTGGTTCCTGGCTTTTAATACTTTCCTTGCCCTCTGGCCTTTGCCCAGTTTTGCATTTAATCTTGACTTTTGGATCTTGATATCTGACTGCCTGGATTGGTCATGTGCTGTGTCATTTGCAGTAAACAGTATGTCCTCCTCTCCATCCTGCTCTGTCTCCTGGCTTCTGGTTTGGTGGTTTTCTTCATGTTTCCACACTCAGTGCTTGTGGATAATGGCGGCATCAAAGTGGAGAAAGTCACGTTTAACAAGCAGGACTCCCTTGTCATCCTGGCCATCACGGTAAGACTGGGGACCTCAAGTCCAGGGGTGTGCATCTGCAGGCCGAGGCCACTTATTCTTGTTTCCTCACCTGCTCTGATTCAGGCCACCCTGAAAATCAGGAACTCCAACTTCTACTCTGTGGCAGTGACCAGCCTGTCCAGCCAGATTCAGTTCATGAACACAGTGGTTGGCACATATGTGACAACTAACATCTCCCTCATTCCACCTCGGAGCGAACAACTGGTATGCTTTTTTTTTTTTTTAGGATACTTGTCCCACAGACCCAAGAGTTAGGGGCTCTGGGAATGCTGCAGCCTCATTACTTTCTTTTTCCTTTCTTCATTTCCACTTATAAGAAGCGTTTGATGAGGAACACCTGACAGCATTTGTAATTTTGAAAAATTAGGGGGATGTCAGCTAACATTTAAGTATTAGGGGAACAGAAAAATTCATAAGAGAAAGATTTGCTGCATATCAAGAAGAGGAGAAGAGGTGGTATGACAGTGTGAGGCCAACATGTTGGCCTTCTAACAGCAAGAGGTTGGAAGCATTTGTTAGATGTCTAGAGTATATCAGGGGTAGGCTTGGGGAAATATGTTGTATGGGATGGCAGAAGGCTCCTTGGTCTCTGGATTGCTAATAAAGTACTGCCTTGTACAGCCTGCTTGGCCACAGACTGACTCTGTCATCTTATTTGCAGGTGAATTTTACCACAAAGGCTGAGATGGGGGGACTGTATTCCTATGTGTAGTAAGTACAGTGTTCGCTATGTGTGTAAAAGGGATTGGGTAGAAGGGATTCCAAATTGTACTCACCCAGTGGGGGCTTTTCTTGCTGTACGTCCCTGCCTTTGGCCTGTGGGTCCTTTAGCTTTGCTTGTTTGGACCTTTATTGGTGGAACATGTCATTTGATACTCTGAAGCTGACTGCTGGGGCATCAGACACTAAACCACTAGGAACATTACGAGACTCCAGCATTTGTATGACAGTTTGAAAAGATGACAAGTATGATGTGGGAGGATGGAAGGACACTTGTCAGGGAGCAGAACTTGTTAACCTACACAGCATTCTGGTCACAAGGGTGGTGGGGGGGGCAGGGGACACCCCAGCAGGGCTGACTGCTTTGTAGTTTTGAGGTGTAATGCAGTGCTCTGCTACTAATTCTCCTTTTTCTCAAATCAAACTGACTGTTTCTGTATTTGCTGTTTGGTAGCTTCTTCTGCACGTTACCCGACATCCTGGTGCACAACATAGTGATCTTCATGCGGTATGTCGCTCCTCTTCCTGCTCCCACAGCTGTCAGTCATGTAGGCTTGCTGCCTTTGCTTGGCATCCTTTGGCAGGGACCCCTAGCCAAAGAGGGGACACCTGAGAGCTTCTGGTTTCAGATGTGGTAGAGATTTGCTGTCCTTTATACGTATTTGCACAATTTACAGGTCACCAGATTCAGTCTTATCCATGAAATGAAATCTAGTTTAAATGCATTATAGTCCCTTTAGAATCCTAATAAGATCAATAGAGAACAGAAAAAACCTTCTTGAGGTGTCAATGCTGTGTATTTGGCCAGAATTAACTCAAGCCACACAAATCACCACATGCTGTGGGTCTTTAGGGCGCCTCCTGGAATCGTGACTCTTACAGTTGCAGGTGATGAGGACCTGCTGCAGACATTTGAACTCTGACAGTCTAGAGATTTCTCAGCCTCAGTACTATTGACATTTGGGCCAGATAGTGCTCTGTTGTGGGGTTTGCCCTGTGCACTGGAATGTTTAGCAGCATCCTTGTCCACTAACCACTAGATGCCTGCAACACTCTTCACCTCTTCATCCCCTCATTGTAACAACCTAAAGTGTCTCCAGAGGAGTCAAGTCCTCCTTAGTTGAGAACCACTGACTTAAGGTCACCTCACGTCTCAGGATCTCTGTGGCTACGGGAAGAACCTCTGACCTCCTGGTTATGTAACCATGAAGGGCTCATCTGAGATGTGTGGATATTGTTGCCTGAACGAGAAATTATTTGGGTATTGTTCTTGCTTATTTCATCAAAACCAGAGTTAATTCTTCTTGGTTTCTTTTCCCTAGAACTTCAGTGAAGATTTCATACATTGGTCGTGTGACCCAGAGCTCCTTGGAAACATATCAATATGTGGATTGTGGCTCAAATTCCACAACTATTTAGAAACTCTCTTGGTTCTCCCACAGCAGTGCCTGTCAGGAGAGACCCAGCACCCACACCTAGGACCTGAGTTTCCTACCTGCCGCAGGTGGTACAAGTAGAGGAGAAATTGGTTCTCTTAGTCCCCAACGAACATCCTCCTGTCAACTTGAGAGGAGAGTTCATCTCTGCTTCACCGTTTGTGTTCCTCAGAACCAGCGGAATCACTGCCCTGTGCCTGGTGTATTTCCAGTAAATAGGCATTCAGAGAAGGTTTGAAGAACTTAATTTAGCTGTTTTCTTGGGGTATTCTAAATGAAAACCATTCCATGGTTCAGGTTATCTGACATAGAGTGACTTGGAGATTAGACGTTAAGGTGGCAACAGAACTGTTATTGGGGCCTCATCTCCACAGAAGCAGCATCAGGGAGGGAACATTTGAATACACAAAGAAGAAAGCACAAATATATGTATTTTTTAACATGCTCCCACACCCAAACACCTTGGAATTAAAAAAAAAAAATACTTTTTTTCTCCTGTAGAAAATTAACTGCTTTTACCAACAGGAGTCTCTGTGGGGCTTGATTAACCCTTTATCCATTGGCTGAAACATGGATTGGGGATTTGGTAGAAAAATAAACCCTGCTTTTGATTTATCTCTGTCTCCACTGACTGGCTGGATGTCTTAGGCACCTCTGGGGACTGTGGATTAGTCACGTGCTAAATGGGTCGACACAGGCTGGGACAGGGTGTAATGGAGCCCAGGTGGTACTGCCCGGTGAGCTCCCCTCCCAGGAAACAGCCTCCTGCCAAGGCAGCCTCACAGTTCCCCATCGCCTCTCCTGGCAGCCTCTCCTGCTCTTCCAGAACGGAGTACTAATGCCCCCTGGAGGTTGGGAGAGGTGGGGCGGAGATGCCTGTGAGGGGGAGGCAGTGTTTGTCTGAGAGGAGTGACTGCCCCCACCAACTGGCTGTAGTCCTGATTAAGAGGACCTGGTTCGAGTTTGAAAGTTTCTTGAACTCTCCACCCTCTCACCCACCAACAAATAGACTCCAGCCCTATGCTGGTGGAGGATCTAATTGGGAACTTGCGCCTGAGCTGGGCTCCAGCTTCTTCCCCAGCACTGGGTCTTCAGAAAGCTCTACCAGAGCAACAGATGGTGGCAGGAGATGTGTATTAGTTTTGATCTGCATTTTTAATATCTGCTTAATTTTTGCACTCTAAATCTTCAAACAAAGGTTAAATTTCATGACTGACTGATAACGCCGTGATTGAGTAACCCGAAAGCTGAGGATTAAAAACTGAGCTTCAGTGTGACACTTCAGAACAGTGTGTTCCTGACAGTGATGCCTGTTCTGTGTGTGGAGAGCAGGACATCAGCACTGAGCTAAAGCAAATGTGGACCGTTTCTGAGAATATTGCCATAAACAAGACCCCCTAAATTCATGTCCACACTGCTCTATTTTCTCTTTAGTTTTCCCACTCTCCAAGTAATTTCTAACATAGTTTCTATGTATTTTTGAAAAAGTTACTTATATTCTTCATTTTTAAATCATTTTGTGACATTTGCCTCAGTGGCATTTCTTCTCAAGATGACCTTAAAATCCACCTATGATATTCAGAGGACAATTCTATTTATTAAACATACAATAAGCTTGCTCTTATAATGCAGTGAATCGTCGTTCTTGTTTATATCCTTAGCATCCCAAACTGCACTTCATAGTTTTATCATGTGATCTGTCAATTCTTGAACAACTCCCTAGAATTTGCTTTCAACAACACCAAAATAGAAAGAGGGAGGGGTCGACTCAGGGGTCATTGCCATCACTGTTGTATTTCTAGTGAATTGAGATAGGGAATGAGTGTGTTTCTTGAAGGTGGAACCTCGCTAGAGGTCTCTCCACTATGGCTTCTGGCTTAGTCTGTACTCTGACCTCTCTCTTGTCCTCAAGGCAGTTAGACTGCTTGGGTAACCTGCTTAAAGAGGTGCTTCATACTATAGAAGTCATGCTTCAGCTACGGAAATCTTTGATTTGCTCATTTACTCGTTCCAAAAAAAGTTTATTGAGTGCCTGCTGTATGCCAAGGATTGCATTTTCTGTTGTGTTTTGTCCAGTGTCAAAACTAGAAGTTTATAACACCATCACAACCCTTTGATTATTACCAGGCCCCATATAGGCCACAAATTACTTCCACCATACATTCTGCTATGTTATAGGGAGGAGAGGAAATTACCTCTTATCCCTCTGGGTTCTTTGAGGGCTGGTCAAATAACCAAATATCAGATTTATAGGGGAAAAAAATTACATGAATGGGGAATCTATAGAAGTGAGTTCTGAGGTCAGTGAGGAGAAATAAGGATATATAGTCTGAGCTAAGGAATGGAAGTAGGGACATGGGACTTTGGGAACAGAGGAGAGGAATTCATGACAGCATATGCTCTGTAATCACATGTCCTACCATTTAGATGTTTCTCTTAGAGGGAAGTTAGTTCTGGTAAAACCCTAGTTCTGAGTAATACCCCCAATTGTCGTTCTTCCTCTTCCAGATCTCAGTTGACCTCACCTCAAAATAATCCACTTGCCAAGGTGACATGTCTTGAGAAGTCCTCTTGGCAACCTCCTGGGAGGCCTGTCCTTCCTCACTTCAAAACAGGATGCCTGGGGTCCTGGGTCAGCTCTCACAGGGATTCTCGACCCAGGTGTGAAACTATAAAAGGAGTCTGCCTATTTGTAAACTCTGACTTTAAGGGTCCCAAGTATTTTCTCTGGACGAAACAATCCTTATCTTTTGCCTTTATAAGTAAACCACTTTCATCGTTTCCACAGCACTTTCTTCCTTTGCTTGTTCAGATGGGGAAACTCTGCCAGAAGTTGTTCTGTGATTTACCCAGAGTCCAAGGCAGTTGAGCAAGTCTTAGTGGGAGCTCAGACTCCTTCCTCGTCATGGATGCTGGTCACTGCCATTGAGATGAAGCTCCAGAGGAAAAGGGCCCCGAGGGAGACCTCAGGTAGTGAGCCACTGGGTCCTGCTGCGGTCAGGATTTTATCTGAGGATATTCTCAATGGTGGACGTTCTACCTTTCCTGGGGCATCAGTGATCGCAGCAATTAATAATGAACCTCATCATCCCCACAGTCCCCTCAGGGCCAGGGAGAGCCAGGGAGTAGCTCCACGCACACAAGGCTGTGGCCAGGTGCCCCAGGCACGGGGCTTCCTGCTCCATCCCTTCTCTTCCGTTGAGCTCTTTTTTTCTAACAGAGAAGTCTATTACCTAAGGCACAGCTGCCATTACTTCTAGGTTTACCAGGTCCCCAGAGTGGGTGGACCGTGAGGATCACCTTAATATTCTGGTACAAATGGAAATTCCCTTACAAAAACCTGAACCGAAGATCATAATCTACAATGTGCCAGACTCCACGGCTCTGTGCCACCGTGGGAGGGGTAGTGAGCTGGGAGCGGTAGGGGCCCTGTGCTCCTTGAGTGTGGCTGACAGGTGGGAACCAAACTCACACACTGCGATTTTATTTTGTAATCTGCCCAGTTCAGGTCACTTAGGGGAGAAAAGTCCAAACTGAGAAGGGGGGTGAATGGACATCAGGTCAGGTCAGCCATTCAGTGCAGAGTCCTAGAGTGAGTGGGATCGGAAAGTACTTGGGTCCTTTGTGTTTGCAATGGACTGTGATGTTTCTGGGCTCAGGTTTTTATAAGCACTACAAAATTCTTTGGCTCCACCTATTGTCTAAGAAAATGTTTTCATAAGCATCTCAGCCCCTCACCAGGGCAGAAGGAGATGTATAGCTCATTTTTGCCACACACTGGAAAGCAGGGGACCCTGATGGTAGGGGGAATGGGAGGCTATCCATTCATAAGCCTGGTGCTCAGATGAAGCTTTATGTGCAGGCCCAGCAAGTGTGGGAGGGGGGCTAGCGGGGAGGGGGCAGGAAGGAGAGATGTGGGTGGGGGAGGCTGAGTGTCTATCATTTCCACCTCTCCTTGACAAGTCTTGCAGATCACCAAAGCTGTAACTGTGTGCACTTACCACAGGCCTGTAGGATGGCTGCTCCCTCTCCCCATCCACCCCATTCCCCCCCAATCCCCCCCCACTGCCCCCACAACAGTCCTATCTCTTCATCAAGCAGGATGCCCCCACACTGTGTCCCAGCCCCTGAGCTCAGAGCACGTCACTTCTCTTGCACTAGCCTGCCCCAGAGCTGTGTTCTGTTTACTCTGGAGAACAGCCACCCCTCATTTGTGACTTCCTTCCCAAATCTTGGTCTAGGGGCCCAGTTGAACCCTCATTTTCACACAGTGCCACAGTTTACAACAAAGAGGCAGGTGTGAGGCTTCAGTGCCCTCCCTCTTGGCTGAAAAGTTAACAGAGGTTTTAAGATGCCATGTGGTCATGTCTATGGAATCAAGGACTCATGGAAAAGAAAGAACAAAGCACAAGTCAATATATACTTTCCAAGAATTTTTTTGTTTTTAATATCAATTGATGTTTTAAAAAATACAGAGGTGATTGACACAGAATAGCACCATTGTGTAGGACACACAGTTCCTACGCCCAGCACCTGAAGGGGGTTTTCTTGCCTGGGCTGGAGGGCAGTCACTCAGAGGGCATTTGACTTGTACCAGTTAGTTTCCTGCCTCTGCCTTGACCCAAAGGTCTTACAGGAAGACAATAAATAAATAGAACACCGAGATTTTATTTTGCAGTCTGCCCAGTTCAGGTCTCTTAGAGACAGAGGGGAGAAAAGTCCAAACTGAGAGGGGGGTGAATGGACATCAGGTCAGGTCAGCCATTCAGTGCAGAGTCCTAGAGTGACTGGGATCGGAAAGTACTTGGGTCCTTTGGGTTTGCAATGGATTGTGATGTTTCTGGGTTCAGGTTTTTACAAGAAGCAGACAGGCCCTATGTCCACACCAAATTCCTGCTCAGGCCCTCCGATGTCCATGGGTGCAATGTCAATGATGGGGAGCCGTGAGGTCTTCTGTGACCGGTACTCGATGATAGTCTTGCCCCACTTACCGGTGTGTTTCTAAAGGAGAAACAAAGGAGTCACCATTCAGTGAGTTCCTGGCCCCCCAGGGCTAGCTGCCCAGGACCCCCAACAACTTTACAACATCGTAAAGCGCAAAACATACTTGGGGCTCCCTCGACGACCTCTTGACTTGCCAAAGCCCTCTCCACTTCAACTCCTGTCCTCCTACACCCTCCCTTTTCCCTCCTTCCCCCACCCCACAGTGAGTGCCCACAGTGAGCCCCCACCCGTGACCATCCTGTAAGCCATATGCATTAAGTGAACTCTCCCACAAGAGTCACTAGACAGGCTGGGCAAGTTCTTAATTTCCCCTCCTCCAGGGAGTGGAGAAAAGCATGCACCTGTCTGTCACCCATCACTCTCTATGTCTTATCATCCCTCAAACACCTCTGATGACACCATCACTAAAATGCCTGCCTGAGCCCCAGGCCGCTCATTTACTGAGCTCATTTCCTGAGTCAGCCCAACTCACCGTGCAGCCATCCCTCAGGACAGTATACGTGAACCTGCTGTTGCCCTCGGCCCGGATCTCTACGTCATTAGAGCCCTGGATGAGCAGGGCCTTCTTGAGGTTGCCAGCTGCCTCGTCCATGTAGGCAATGCTGTTCTTGCAGTGGTAGGTGATGTTCTGGGAGCCCTCCGTGGACAGAAGTCGCAGGAAGGTCATCTGGACGTTGGCAGTGTTGGGAGCCAGGTTGTCATCCCCATAGCTAAACTGTCAGGGCAGAGAGCGTAGGCATGAGGCCCAGGGGGGCACTTGGTGGGAGGGCTACAGGGGCTGCGAGTGTCCAGGGCGCAGAGGGGAGCAGGGAGCTGGGGGGCATTTTCCCTTCTAGGGAAGAAAAGACCTCTTCCTCCATCTCTAAATGGGGGAAAAAAAACACTATTCTTCCTCTTGCTATCCTCTTAAGTCCCAGAGAAAACTGGTGATAATGTGGGCAAGATACTGAAAATTTCCAGAGAGAAAGAAGAGGAAGATTTCGGGAGCTACCCCTGGCTTAGTGCGACCAATACTCACGTGGAAGCCACCATTGATGGTTTCTCCAAACCAGATATGTTTCCTGTCTTTGCTCTTGCTGTTCCACCAGTTCTTCTTGGGAACACTAGCCGGGTTGGGGTAGACGCAGGTCTCACCAGTCTCCATGTTGCAAAAAACCTTCATGGCATCTAATGTGCAGCCCTGGTTGGGGTCAATCCAGTAGTCTCCTGCAGGGGGAGAGGCCACGCCCCGCAGAGTCAGTTGGGCATAGACTCCCTAGTGGGGCAGGCCTCCCTGGGAAAGACAGACGCCAGGAGGCGCAGGGCAGGCCTGCGGCCACAGTGGCCTCATGATAGGGAGGGTGAGGGGCCCAGGAAGAGGAGACCTGGATGGGCCACGCCACGTGCTGGGCAGGGGCACAAGGGAAAAGGGCAGGGGCAGGGCCTGCCTGGTGGGTGGCTCTCCATCCTGCAGTCGGCTCTGACCCATCGCCATGGCAGGATGGGAGCCGGGGCAGCGACGTCTTTGTTGGGACATTGAGGAGCCGCTAAAAGCTTCTGGGGCTGGCTCTGCCCTGTCTGCTACTGAGGTCTGAAAGGCTGGGGTGGGGAATCCTGGCCCCCAAGCTCACCGCTCTTCCATTCAGGGTGACAGAGCTGCAGGTCCCGGCAGGTGCGAGCAGGGTTCTTGCGGGAGCCCTCAGGGCTGCGGATGCTCTCGATCTGGTTATTGAGGGACTTGAGCGTGGCGTCTACCTCGGCATCGTGCTGCCTCAGGGTGCCGCCTGCCTGGTCTGCCCGCATATACTGCAGCGGGTCGGGGCCCTTCTCCCTCTGGCCCAAGCCAGCAAAGGCAGACATGTCAATGCCAGGGCCAGGGGGACCTGGAGGGCCAGGGGGTCCAGGATTTCCAGGAGGACCCTATGACAGGAAACAGAGAAATCAGGCGGGAACTGTGGAAAGATGTCCCTCCTGCGTCCACCCCCATCTGCTCAAATGCACTAGCAGGTCTTCTCCCTGGTCCCGTGTGGGTGGGGGGGGCGTGCAGCAGCTCAGACAGAGAAAACCCAAGCACCTTCCCCCTCCTTCATCAGCCCCTCTCTTCTGTTTCCCAACAACAGTCATGGGGCCTCCAAAGCCCAGGGGAACCCCAGGATAAAGGATAGCATAATCATGAACCGCAGGCTGATGCCCTGATCGAGGACCCCAGCACCAGGGGGCTCAAGTCTCCCGGATGCTATGGACATCACAACAGCAGGGAAGGAACCAGGACACTTACAGCGGGGCCAGTTTCGCCTGAACGTCCACGGGGGCCAGGAGGGCCAATGGGGCCAGGGATTCCATTAGCACCATCTTTGCCAGAGGGCCCAACGGGGCCGGGAGGACCCTGTAGACAGGAGAGAGGTGGTGAGAAAAGAGCCGTCAACACTGGGGAGGTCAGTGAGGAGCTGGGCTGGGCAGCTGGCCGCCCTGACAACACTAGTCCCCTGCCCCCCACTGCTCACATTTCTCAGGGAACCAGGCCCCCAAGCTTCTCCTGGCAAACACCATTTCTGGGGAGTCTGCTGGCAGCCAAGGGCTGCTTTCATGTTCCTCCCCCATGATCCCGGGCACTTTTCTGGCCATGGTCACACCAGGCCGGGCCCACCTCTGCTGCTGAGGGAGGTGCCCAAGTCCAGGGCTTCCCACAAGCAGCGATGTCTCCCCACTGTCAGAGCACCTGGTAAGCAACCTGTCTCCATCCCACTCACACCCACTTACTCTAGGGCCAGAAGGACCGGCGGGACCAGAAGCACCTTGATCTCCAGAGGGACCCTGCGTAGAAGGAAGAGCAAAGGTCGGAGCTCGGCACAGAGCAGGCTCCATCTCCAGGAAGTGGGGGCCTTTCTTAAATATGTATATTCTACATCTTGGGAGGTGGGGGAGCAGATGCATGTGCCACTTTCGTTTCCTTTCCATTTACTCCTCCCTCCAACCCTGACAAAGTCCCAGAAATTTTTTAGGGTGATGCCAAGATATCTTAGCAGCAGAGGAAACTCAAGTGGGCTCTGGGCAGGGGGCCTCCTGCAGCAGTACAGGCAGCAACACTCACAGGGGGACCAGGCAGACCCTGCAGACCCGTGAAACCACGGTGTCCCTTCAGTCCCCTCTCGCCGGCCTCTCCAGCTTCTCCTTTGTCACCTCGGGGACCTTGAGGACCCTGGGAACGAGACAAACAGACATGGGTTGGGCAGCTCTGCCCACAGCAGGCGTCCCCTGCTGGCCTCACCCGAGCCAGGAGTCAGCTCCCACAGTGTGTCTGCCCCCATGCTTGCGCGTGGGGACCCAGCACAGGACACTCAGATACTCACTGGGATGCCCCGGGCTCCAGCGGGTCCGGAGGGTCCCATGGGGCCTTGTGCGCCCTATGAGGAGAGAGAGCAAGCTGTGTCAGAAAAGAGCAGGGGCAGAGAGGGCCCTCGGGCACCTGCTCTGAGCAGGGCACTGCCTGGACCAGGGGCGCCTCCAGGCAAGAGGCACAAGGGGGAAGACTCCTAGCTCGCTTGGCAGCTCTCCTCACTTCCAGTTTTTACTGAATTAAGGATACTCACATGAGCCTCCCTAGTGGGAGTTAAGCACAGTGGGGTTAAACACAGCACTGTGAAGCTATCCGCAGCAACTGCAGCATGAGTTCGATCCCCAGCCAGCCAAGGAGCTACCCACATGGCGCAGCAGACCTCTCCTGTCTCGCCCACTGCTCCCCTCAGCAGTGT